TTGTACATCTTTGCAGACTTTACATGAGGTTCTGAACTTCAACCATTTTTTTCATGTTCCAATCCAATATGAGATTTTGATTTTTAATCAAAAAAAAAAAAAATCATCTAGGTATTCCTGATTTTTTTGGTTAACACCAAATTCAGATTTGCCTGTCTGTTAACTTTATTTATTTTTGTCTGGTTGTGCTTAATTGATTACACTCATACACATCTGTATGCTCTTACTTAGCCTAATTAGCTGTCTAGATGTTATTCAATTTTTATTTAATCGTTGTTTCATTGTCTACATGTATGTCGTTTGCTGATTATTCATTGCCATCATCGAATTTTACTCATTAATCATCTCTATGGTTATTTTTGTTTATTCTTCACTGTCCATACAGGGGATTTTACTCATTAACCCCCAAAACCATGATGAAATTACAATCTTGGAGGAAGCCACATTCAAGTTGAAAAATATGCTTTGGGTTTAAGCTTCAGGTTTGGATGCATTGATATCTCTATGGTTATGTTTGGGTTAATTTTGTGCATTGTTTCATTTTATTATTATTTTTGGTTATGATATTTGTTAGATATGTAGTTTTCTTTGGGAATTGTTTGAGGACATTTTGCATTTATGAAAAATTAGTTTTCTACATTCGTTGGATAAAAGGTTGCCTATTTTTGGGGATTTGGTTGTTTGCCTACCTATTTTGGGGAACTCTGAATTTTGGTTCTTTAGCAATTGGTGTTGTCGTTGAGTTTGGTTGAATATTTTTTTTCTTTAATATTGGTTATGGAATGGTTTGTGTTGGATAATGATACATATAATGAGATATATAAGTTTTGTAAACATGTTGTGATGTTTTTGAATTTTTATATTTACCGAAAAGTCTGACGAAATTTACTGAAAAAATGGCAGAACTTGATTGATTTCAATTTCTTTAATTAAAGCAAATGACACAAACTATTTTAAAATGATGGGTTTTTAGATTGCGAAGTGCCTTTAAGGAGTTTTTGGTTATTATTTGGTTGTTTAGTTGCCACTATGACTACTTTAAATCAAGCTTAATGGGTTTTATAGTTATTTAAGAGTAAGAATTGATGTTTAATCAAGCCTAGAATTTTTTGTTCTTCCATGGAGGAAATGATGTTGCATAGCTATAAATAATTCTCCTCTATGTAATATTATAAGATGAAATGTGTATGTGTGATGATCGTGAGTATTGAGTTACTACGTGCAGATTTAATAGGGTTAAAAATATTGACGTGATAGTCAATTATGGTTATTTAAGTTCAGCTCAATTAGTATTTGTGGGTTCTATGATTTCTTTTTTGGTTACTAAATTTTTTTTTCTCATTTGCTAATTTTTGTGGATTTGATTTTTTTTTTCGGGTGATTTTGTTGCGTCACACAGTGCCTTCAGGCACGGGCATTAGCTAGTTAATTAATAAAAAATAACTCAAGTATCATATGTATGTTAAATAGATCAAAGTTATAAAAACATATGATTTGTTTTGTTAAACATGTCACACAACATGACTTATATAACCTACATGTAATGAATAAATCATGACGAGTGACGTTAAATTAACATGTATGTTAATGTGATTAATGTATCGATATTGTTCAAGGTTGAAAGTTCCAAAAAGAAAAGAGTTAAAGAGAATAGGTTGAAAATGGCTAAACAATTTCGACTGGTGTATTTAAAGATCACCACCTGTCGAGTAATTAATACAGTAAATACAAGGTGAGATCAACACAGTCAACACATAGATGTATAGTGATTTGTTCAGGATGACCTACTCCACTTTGAAGACGACAACGGTGACCGGTGATTTTTATTGATGAAGCAGTATGTGAGAGAGATATATAACTATGTAAGGTGTGTAGAGATATGCCACTCTCATGTAGAGAGGACTTACAATTTATAGGCATAGAGCCTTAGTTGAGGCGGTGGCATGAAAGGATAGGTGACTTAGCTTTTCGGGGAGGATAAGTACAACTAAGATAGATATAATTAAAGACAGTGTTGATCTCTGAGTAGTGGTTATCCTGGTAATTATTTCCTACGTGCGCTGATCCTCTTCGATTTCTTAGACTTCTGGACTAGGTTGAACTCTATAAGCTGGACTTGACCTTCCTTTTAGTTGATTTAAGCTTATCTTATTAATTGGGCTTGGACCCAGCTGAATCTGGGCTTATCATTTGCCCCCAAGTCCCAAGCCCTAGTAGTGATTAGAGGTTGAGGGCATGAGTGAGCTCCTTCCTTTGGGTAGAATAGATATCTTGTTCCATACGGTGGCTTCTTTAACTTTCCATTCCATTGCATTTTTTTAGGCTTATTTCTCCATTAGCGCCATTGTTGGAGAGGATGAAGAGAAGCATGGATGCTTCGGCTCGTGTAAATGGAGATGTTTTGGCGAGTGGTGCCTTGAAAAGGGAGAGAAGCTTGGGTGGCACTATGGATATAAACCTGGACAACATCAAGGAAGCGCGAGGCATGGCGGTGCTATGGGCGATACCATGGAGGACCCAGACAAATTAATAATTTCTTTGGTTTATGAAAATTCTTTCTTTCACAAGTGATCCCATGGTTGATGAATCAATGACAAAAGTTCTTATGTCACTAGGATGGTGACTTACTCTCCTCTTAGAAAAGGTGAGATTTGATGCCCCTAGTGTTTTCCAGCTGAGATCTGATGGTTCTAATATTGATTGGAATGCGGGGTTTGATGCCCCCAGCGCTTCACATAATTATCCAGCTTCTAGTAGTGGCATGGTGTCCCTGCTATAGGATGTGAATTTTGGCTAAGGAGATGCCTTGGAGGTTTGTGACACCCTTGGATGTTAGCTCTCGGGGGTCTTGAGGGTATTATCGATATTGCGATATATGGCTTTGCTATGGTACCCAGTTGTTATGTGGAACCTTGTCTTCTGTATGCTTGGTTATACTGACATTCTCGCTTTTAGAAATTTCCAGATGGCTGCGACTTTTTCGTACTTTTGAGGATGATCAAACTAGGTGTCGAGAACTTTGGCAGAAGAGAGACTTGGGCACCAGGTTGTAGTTGAGGTTGGCTCATGAGAGAGCAAAAACACTTGAGACTGAGCTTTTGGAGAACGAGGCTGCTTGCGTATAAGCATAGTCAGAGTTAGACCAAGCTTCTAGGAGACCAAAGTTGCTTCAGAGCAGAGATAGGATTAGGCCCCAAGCTTTTGGTGACTCGTGAGAGAGCCGCTAAGCTAGTGATTGAGGTTGTCTGCGTGAGAGCCGAGGCAGAATGAGACCAAGCTTTTGGCAACTCGTAAGAGAGTCACTAAGTTGGATATTGAGACTGCTTGCATGAGAGCAGAGGCAGAATGAGGCCAAACTTTTGAAAACTTGCAAGAGAATTGCTAATTTGGAGATTGAGGCTGCCTGCGTGAGAGTAGAGGCAGAGTTAGACCAACCTTGTGGAGACTCGTGAGAGCCGCTAAGCTGGAGATTGAGACTGTCTGCCTAAGAGGAGATGCAGAGTTAGAATAAGTTTACTGGAAACTCGTGAGAGATACGCTAAGCTGAAGATTGAGATTGCCTGCCTGAGAACAGATGCAGAGTTAGGCCAAGCTTTTTGGCAACTCGTGAGAGAGACGCTAAACTGGAGATTGAGACTACCTACCTAAGAGCAGATGCAGAGTTAGACCAAGCTTTTGGCGACTCGGAAGAGAGCGCAAAACTAAAATTTGAGGGTGCTTGCATGAGAGCACTGCTGGGCTTTAAGGCATGGGCGTCGCTGGGCCTTCCCTAGTCGAATTCAAGGATTCCAATTAGCTCAAGGAATAGAATTAGTTCAACACTACAATCCATGCGAGGCCAGATCTTATAGAACAAAGATGATAACGGGGAAGTCTTGATAAACCTGCAAGACAAGAGAAAATCTAGGTGAATTGATGGCCAGAGGTGGTCAAAGGGACTACGATGCTTAAGTCAGTAAGCGAGTCGAAGAAAAAGTATATTGTGAATAGGCTAGAATCCCATGACATATCTAGTAATTGGAATCTTTATTTATAACGATAAAGGAAGCGGTGTTCCATACGAACTCGAATTCTAGGTTGTGATAGGATAGACCTTATCACCAATCCCCTAAACATTCGAGGTAGAGTCGTATTAGGACGTTGGGTCCTAGATTGTAGGATGAGATGTGCTTGCCAAGAGGCATTGTTTATCAACAGTCCTTTGATACTTGAAGTAGAGTTTCAATAGGTCCCTAGGTCCCAGGTCAATTCTTATTGAGTGGGCACCGAATAGGGGCAGGCTACGCCGGAGGCATGGCGGTGCCTTGGCTCTACTAGCAGGGCTCATGTCCCACAGTTCCATAGTTCCCAAGAAAAAAGAGCTCGCAAGAAAGCTAGTCAGTGGGATATTAGAAAAGTCTCGATTCCGAGGAAGGTGTATTCGGGGTCGACCACAATTTCCCAAATAAGAGACAGAATCTCACAAATTGGAAAGAAAAGGAGGACTTTGATCCATTGCGATTCGCTTCTTTGGTGTGGAGATATCTCTACCATAAAAGAGAGAGCTTATAGGCTAGGGCACAGACGCTGCTGGGTGCTGAGGCTCGGGCACCGCAACGCTGGGCATAGACACCAGACATTGGTGGGTATGATCGTCGGGCGCTAGGAAAAAATGCCTATGAACTATAATTACTCAAATTCTACTTAGNGATATCTCTACCATAAAAGAGAGAGCTTATAGGCTAGGGCACAGACGCTGCTGGGTGCTGAGGCTCGGGCACTGCAACGCTGGGCATAGACACCAGACATTGGTGGGTATGATCGTTGGGCGCTAGGAAAAAATGCCTATGAACTATAATTACTCAAATTCTACTTAAAGGGGATCGCTTAGGGAATCTATGAAAGACGTCCTTGGAGCAGAAGGCGACACCAACGCAATGGGCTAGTTGGGCAGGCGGTCTGGGTGATGCTAGGATAGAGGCGTCAGACAAGGGCACCAAGCGAGGTAGGTTGGACGTGCCATGCAAGCACATAGTGGTGCCAGGCTAGGCGATGCCTTGCAGGCACAGAGGCAGCGCCAGGCTATTGCCAAGGGCACTTCGCACCATAGGCACATGACCCGAGGATGTGGGCAAAACCCTTGGAGTAGGAGTAGGAGCAGGAGCAGAAGTAGGAGCCGACGCTAGTAGGCCAGCTGGGTGACATAGTAGTAGGTGACGCTAGTGGCCAATTGGGTGACACCCATGGAGTAGGAGGTGACGTCAGTGGCTGTAATGCTTGCAGAGGTATTGGTCCAAGCATTGCCACTGCCTGTGCTGAGGTGTTGGGTGACGCTATGGATTGGGCGAAGCTAGACAGGGATGAGAAGGCAAGGCGCAAGGAAGGTGACGTCCTTATGCTACTAGCTTGGGGGGCGCCAACCTAGGCCATTCCAGATTGGGGGTGCCAGCTTGGGCCACGCCTTCGCATAGGGAGCAATGGGCTACACCTTTGGTAAGGGAGCAGCAGGGCATATGCGTTGGGTGCTTGGGGCACTAGTAGGATGTGGGCGATGCCCTTGGCGGTTTGGGCGACGCCTTGGAGCAGGATCTGGGCGACGCTAGGAGGGACTGGCACTCCCTACTACTATTGGTGTTGCTGCCACTGGTGATGAGGTGTTGGTTGGAGTATTAGACAATGATGAAGAAACGACGAAACTTTGAACGACCATAACTTTGTACTCGGTTGTCCGTTTGAGGCGATTTTTTTTTTGAATTTGGGTATTTTTTCTAGATCTACAACATACAAATGGCTAAAGGTGGTTTGGGCACCAAATTTCTCTAAAAAATGCTTCTTTCTCATAGAATTTGAGTTTTTAACCCCAAATTAACGAAAAAATAGATTTTGCATGTGTCTACTTTTAGCCAGTGGTGGTGGGACTTCGTCATGATGTGGCGGGTCATTTTTTGTTTGGTGGTTCATGGATTTGATTTTTCTTGCCTTTAGAGGTAGGAAGACTATAAGGACAGAATCAAATTGCTTTTCACTGATGGCGCCAAATTGATGATGCACAAAAGTGGATTTATGCACCACTTATCGAGTAATTAATGTAGGTAATAAATGTAGTAAATATAAGTTGAGATCAACACAATCAACAAACAGATGTATAGTAGTTCAGTTAGAGTGATCTACTCCACTTTGAAGACGACAACAGTGGTCGGTGGTCTTTATTGATGAAATAGTAGGTGAGAGAGAGAGAGAGATAGCTGTGTAAAGTGTGTGAAAGGATGCCATTCTCATGTGGAGAGGGCTTACAATTTGTAAGCACATAGTTTTAGTTGAGGCAGTGGCGTAAAAGGATAGGTGACTAGCTTTTCGGGGAAGATAACTACAACTAAGATAGGTACAATTAAAGATGGTGTTGATCTCTGAGTAATGGGTATCCCGGTAATTATTCCCCATGCGCGTTGATCCTTTTTGGTCTCTTAGACTTCTGGACTAGGCCGAACTCCATGAGTTGGGCTTGACCTTTCTTTTAGCTGATGTGAGCCTATCTCATTAGTTGGGCTTGGACACAGCTGAATCTGGGCTTATCACAATGCTTAATCCATAATTAGAGAAATCTTCGAGAAAATATTAGGCATAACAGTAACATTACGTCACTATTGTCACGTGTTGTCATCATTCTATAATAAACCTACAAATCAGCAAGTGGATCCCACATATTTTATTAAGAGAAAATCTCATTTTGTCCTCTAAAAGATACAAAAATTCTCAGTTTGTCCTCGAATGATTAATTTTTTTACATTATCCCCATCAAAGAAATAAAAATTTGCAATGTGATTCAAAAACGTTTTTATTGTAAAGTTTTTGGACTACATTATAACGTTTTTATATTTTTAAGGGGGGGGGTCAAGGTGAAAAAATTAATCATTCGAGGACAAACAAATTTTTTTTGTATCTTTTAGGAGATAAAATGGTATTTTCCCTTTTATTAATCACTTCTTCATGTCATGTGATAACCATTAAGTGGAGTTCACTTTATCCACTTGTAAGTTTATTCTAGAATAATAACACTACATAGCAATGGTGACGTGATGTCACCGTTACACCAAATATTTTTTCAGTTCAGTTTAGCCCCATAACATTTTTTCGGTTCAGTTCGCCTGTTGAGATGCATCTCTAGTCGTTGATTTCGAATTATACTATCATTAATTAAACAAATAATCTGCGTAACAAAGTATAATACAATTCAATTTTCAAAAGATAAACAAAATGACTTTTGATTTTCGCGGGTGCGATTTGTTTAAATTTTACTTTAAAGTTAATCCGACGGCTACTATTAATACACCAAATTTAATAGTAAAAATAGGATTCGAAAGGTGTGTTTGAGACAATTTTTAAAAATGTCTTTAAAACTTATAACTTCTTATAAGTACTTTAAAAAAAGAGTAGTGTTTGGAACCATCCCACCATGATCACCACTATCACAACCACCTCCACCGCCCCACCACGATCACCAGTACCGCCATCACACCATTGCCGCCACCCCATAACCACCTTTGCCACCACAACCACCGCAACTGCCACCACCACTACCACCCCATCACCATCACCATCACCATCACCATCACAACCACGACCCCTTCATCACCATCACCACCACCACCACCA